ATTTTTCTTGGATAATTCTTTTTTCCCTCACATTTTCTATATTTATTTTACATTCTTTTATCCCATACAGATATAAAAACGCACCAATAATCTTCCCTAATCTCTCTCTCCCTCTATCTCCCTCTGCATATACCTTATTTCTCTCTATCTGAGAATTCTCTCTCTAAACATTCCCTACATCTATCTTCCAATTCTCTATCTATCTATCTAGCTAGCTAGCTAGCTAGCTAGCTATCCCATAATTCTGAGCTTATTTCATGTTTGCTTAAGTTATATATTAACTCAAATTAAGAATTTTCAGATTTTAAAACCTCTACGACTGACAGGCAGGGTTCAGTGGTATGAAAGACTAGATGCCAATTCAGCCAACTGATTAAAGAAAAAATAATAATGTTTTTTTCTTGGTTAAGCTACATAAAGCTGCTTACACAGTAAAGGTCTGTTTTTGCAATGCTTTTCATATACTTTCACAACGATTTTTTTCCCCGTCTGTTTTTCTCTTTCTTAATTCTTTCTTTTATTCGTTCGTTACATCTTGCGCCTTTTTTTAATCCTTTTTTTTCTCTCCCTCATTTCATCTATACTTGGATTTCATCTTTCACGTTTTCACTTGATATATAAATTTCAGTGTTATTCCTATGTTCTATTCTACCTGATTATATATATATATATATATATATATATATATATATATATATTATAATCATTTCTCGTTTTTACTCTAACTTTTTTGTTAAGAACATCTAACAAATGCGTTACAAAACTGAGAATTATAGATAAACCATGTACACACACACACACACACATATGTTTGTGTGCGTGTTTGTAAATATTCTCAGCTGGAGTGTATCTGTAAAAGAGACAAAATGAATAGACAAGAGGAAAAATTATAGTTCTTTCTTTTCTTTATATGTGTCATGTCCTTTCAGGACATAGGCGATCATGGCTCTCCACCTCCCTCTAACCCTTGCAGATCTCAACAAGTTCCTGATCTCTGCTTCCTCCTCCAAGACCACGTTCTGTCATCCGCTTTCTTAAGTCCGCCAGTTTTCCCTTGTCTCTCTTTCTCTCTATTCGACACGTGAGTATCAGATTCTCCAGGCCCTACTTTCTCATTATGTGTCCCAGAAACTTCAGCTGCCTCTTCCTGATATCAAGTATAAGCCTCCTCGTTGTTTGCAACCTCTTTAAGATCTCATCGTTGCTCACACGATCGGTCGATGAGCCGGCGTATTTTGTCCTCTGTATCAAGGCTATTTAGGATTTAATATGCTTTGGTTGACATTTCAACCACTTGATGAACATTCAGGAACGTTCTCAAATTTACAAACCTTGATAAAACAATGACATCCTCACCGCTGTATATATAAATCCTCCATGGCCTTGATAACGTCCCTCAGAGGACGAAACATGTCGGCTAAATATATTTTTCACTTTTCTCTTTTTATTCATATATATATATATATATATATATATATGTGTGTGTGTGTGTGTGTGTGTGTGTGTGTATAAGAAGATTTTGAGAAGCGTGGAAGCACCTCTTAATAGCTGTTGACCCCAGGTGGTAGCACTTGTTAGGATGTCCCAGCTATGGACAAATAATGAACCTCCTTTCAAAAACAAAATACTATGAAAGTATAATAATACATTTTATAGTAAAAATACCAGCAATACATTTTTTATATAAATAAAATGACCGACAATACATTTTATCTGTAGTTGAAGTCATACAATTGCGTTCAAAACATTTCCATTTCCGCATTAAATAACCCATTGACGTTGAGATGCCACTAAACGACATCAAGCATAATTGTTTTTATTAATCATTGTGGCATGTTATTTTATCAATGTACCTGATGTTTGAACAACTCTACACGCAAGCCGCTAGTGGCCCGCTGGCGGGCCGCCGATTGCAACACCAGCGGTCTTCTGGTAGCAGCCACCGGCAGGCCACTGGTGGACCTGTAGCGGTCCGCCAGTGATAACATTGCCGTGACGAACACACTCGCGGTCCGACACCGTGCCACCAGAGTTAAATGCTAGATTGGTAGCTTGCGTGTAGAGAAGACATCTAGATGGATTCAGTTATACTTTACACAAACGTATTTTTTTTTTTTTTTTTACAAATTAGCTAGTTTGCAAGATATCTACGTTAAAACTTCCTATATAGAAATGTGTTGTTACAATAATCGTAAAATGAATAGTTTATACACATTAATGGTGTGTCATCAAAATTTTTCGATTGCAATCTTCATGCAGCGCTGCAAATAATAAAAGTGGGTGTTGAATCAGATATCAAAAGTTGGGGCGCTAAGTCTGATGGTATAAGTGGTGGTTACTAAAAGGAAAGCTGATTTTATAAGTGGGAGAGTCTAATCAGATGTTAAATGTGGTGAAGGCTAAATTAGGTATTAATAGTGGGGGTCTACATCAGATGTTAAAGTGGTGGGAGCTAAATCAGATGTTAAGAGTAGTGGGGGGGGCTAAATCACATGTTAAGAATGGTGGAGGCTAAGTCAGATGCTAAAATTTGTAGAGGCTAAGTCAGATATTAAAATTGGCGGGACCCAGGTCAGACGTTAAATGCAGGAAGCTAATTTATATGTTAAAATTGACACGAGCTAAATCAGATGATAAATGTTATGAGGACTAAGTCAGATGTTAAAAATGGGGGTGCTATGTCAGATGGTAGATGCTGTGGTGCCTAAATCAGATGTTATATGTGGTTGGGGATAAATATATTAAAAGTTTCGCGGGCTAAGTCAAACGTTGAAAGTGTGGGGCTAAATCTGATATACAAAGTGTTATGAGCTAAGTGAAATGATAATTGTAGTGCGGGCAAAATAAATTGTCGATTGGTGGTGGTTACGATCTATGTTAAAAGCTAGAGGTTTAAAGGATAGAAGTCAAATATTAAATGTGGTTGGGACTAAATCAGATGTTAAGAGTGGTAGGGGCAAAATTGGATTTTAAATGTGATGGGTCCTAAATCAGATGTTAAAAGTAACGACAGGGGCTAAATTAGATGTTAAAATAGGCGGGATCTAAGTCAGATCTTTTAAAGTGGTCGGGGGAATAAATCAGGTATTAAAATTGACGGGGGCTATGTCAGATGTTAAAAGTGGTGGGCACTAAGATGTTACAAGCTGGGGGATAAGTCCAATGGTAAAAATGGTGGTGCTTAAATCAGATGTTAAAATCGGTGGGGGCTAAGTCAGATGTTAAAAATCGTTGGGGCTAAGTTAGATGCTAAATATGGGGAGCTAAATCAGATGGTAAAAGGGGTAGGGGCGAAATCAGATCTTAAATTTTAAAGATTACTGATTTTATTTTATTTTTTTTTAATCTGATCTCATAAAATTAATATTTTTTTATATCAATCATCCGTAGATAGCTTTTTATTTTTATTTTAAATACACAGTTTTTCTTGCTGTTCTTTTTTCACTTGGTTTTAGAATGAGACCTACAGATTTGTTTTCACATATAAAACGTCTTTAGAATTCTTGGAAGCTATATTTTTTTTTAAAAAAAAAAAAAGGAAGATAAAATGTTATTTGTTTTGAAAATTAACCGCGGTAATTATTTCAGATAAATGCTACAGCTCAGCTCAATATCATTGCTATAGCTTGAGACCAAGAAGGTAAAATTCTGCTTCATTTTCATTTCCAGAAAAATTAGACGGTTGAATCTTTCTAGCATTCCGTATAACGTCGTGTACGGTGGGTTCAGTTATCTTAAGTATTACATGTCTGTAAAGTAAAGAGTTTTAGTGTATAAATGGCTTTAAACGGAATCACGCAATATTCTTCACTCGGCATCAAATAGTTTCCTACATTCAGTCAGTTATTTGCCATGCGTGATACATGCTTAGGCGATCATGTATCTTTCAATATATGACTGACGAGGCAATTTTTTTTTCCCGCAGTTATCAAACCGATTAAACCAAAATACATATGCTACCTTTCGCACTGTCTCGCTTCTTATTTAAAACATCCTCATCTCTTTTTACGGATGGAAATTGGTTTGGTTTACAACTTGTGATGCTCTTACTAAAGTTGTTTTTATCTTTACGATCACCAAATTTTATTATTCCGCATTTCCTTCTCTGTTGTCTTCATCTTAGTCTTCTCATAATTTTGCTTTTTCTTCTCTTCATTTTTTTCGCTATCATTTCTTGTTCACTTCTTTTATGTTTTCATCTTTTCTCTCTACTCCCCTTTTAAGTTATTCTTTCAAGTTTAATTTCTCACACATTTCCCAAATTGTTCTTTTGTTCTTTGCTACATCTTCTTCGAGCAGCAAAGATCTGATCTGATTACCAACCCTCCACCCCCCCCGCAAGTTCCGTATTTAACATCCACTGGAATCACGGAAGAGAACTAACTTTCATATTTCCATTGCATGCTTGAACGGCACTCCCTGATATGAGGATAAACACGAGCACCTGTTGCAGGCTTTTATGTCTTCCGACATAAAGAGAAAGGCAGAATTTTCTTGTTTTTAATTTTTGTTTTTTACATATATTTTTTTTTCTCTTGTATGTTTTCGGGTGGAACACCCGGATCATCATTATGAAAGCCATCCTTGCAATATTATTTCTCAACTTCTTTTTACTAAATGTTCACCCTGTACAAGACCCGAAAGTCACTCAAGATAGAAGATTGCTGAATAAAGTTACTGTATGGGCATAAGAGGGAAAAGTAAGTGCAGATTTTGAAAATGTTGGGTGACTGATAAATTCGTTTTCACAGTTTATCAACCCCTATGCAGGTTATTTAAAGCCAGAAAATATTTTTAGATTATAAGATTTTTAAAAATAATAATTGTTTAGTGATATAAGACTTGTTAATTAACCCATGGCTGGCGAGTAGAAGTGGCTTCATCCCTTTCACAAGGGTATTTGCACGTAAGTGATTATAAGGAACTAAACAGGAATTGGAACTCGGTTCTCCGATTAACAATACCAAGTGGTTATACATTACACCAGCCACACATCCAAGCTTACATCACCTGGTACTCCCAAGCGGTCATCCATCTTGGTACTGACCAAGCTCACCGTTGCTTAACTTCGGTGATCGTACTGGCGCCTTTTGAGGATGTGTTGATCCTAGATTTGAAATTATTAAGACTGTAGTTATCGGAGAAACATCTTCTTAGAATTCTGTTCAAGAAAGTATCGGATATTGGAAAGAAACTGAAAATTCCTTCTTACCAGTGGAAAGCGAAGAGAAAGGGAATGATTTGACAACGTGTACGTAGCATGTCTGGTTCTAGTTGTAAAGGTCTGAATTGGTGGAACTAAGCTAGTCTAAACACTTCCCATGGAAATAGCAATAGAGTAGCCATGGGCCTTGCGACGTTTCGTTTGTGGGAAAGGGATTGTAGGGTTGAAAATAATTAATCGCTCATGAAGTTGCGTAAACGCTTTTATCGTCAAGACTGGAAACAGAGGATTAGGCATCTCCATCCCAGATATGACAGCAAAAACCTATTTTTATTCTGATCTGACTCTTGTAAAGATAGAGCATATCATGAGGGGGTTAAGTAATTTCTAGATCGGTACAAAGAACCGACTGTTTTTCCAGAATCTGTTCAAATTCTTTATTTGAATACAGGTTTATCACTTGTTTCCTGTTTAGGATTGGGTTTCCGGTTTCCTTCTAAAGTCTACTTCAACTCTATACTTCTAACGTCTCCGTCTAACCTCTGAAATTTTATTTACAATATTTTTTCCTTCAATAGTTCGGCTCCCGGTCTTTTGAAGACCGAGAGCCGAACGTTTATCCCGCGTTCCCCGTTTAGGACTTGGTTTCCGGTTCCTTCTAGAGTCTTTTCATTCCCTTTTCCCTCCCACTAGCACCTTGCGTCTAAGTAGCATTATCGCCTTCCTTGGGGTGAATTGATTAAAAAAGATATTTAGCTGTGGATCGTATATATGAGTTCCACTTGACGTCTGGGGTGAACCTGAGTTCATATGGAGTCGCAGTTGCTTTACTTATCAATGTTCAGTTGCAATTCATCTCAGGAACCTTATAAATTTATCAAGATAAAAAGGTAGTAAATAATGTAAATAATAACATCTCATTTTAAGAACGTTATAAATATAAAATTTATAAACAAATTTAGGAAAGATGGTTAGGCCGAAAACTTTTCAACACCCATTCGTATACAACAAACGATACCGATTGTCGTTCAAGGGACAGTCAAATTGAACTTGCCAATGTAAAAGTGTTGAATCTCGTCTTCTCCCGCGTTCTTCATTTACTATCAGAACAATTTACTAATCGCCGTAGATTAACGGTCTCAATAGTTGCAACGATAAATAAAATATAGTCAAAATTAATAATGGTTCATAATGGTTCATTTAATAAGAATTCAGGATAAATTCATGTTTTCTTGAAGTTTCATTCTGTTTGCTTAAAGGCATATCAACACCTTATGGGTCATTTAATGAAACCTGATTCACTTGCAAATGCTTAGTTACAATCATAATTATACATATCTTAGCGTTTCTCTGCAATCATTTCTCTTTTAATCGCATTTTTTTTTTTTTTTTTTTTTTGGCGGGGGATTAAACCCAAGCAAGGCATCTAAGCCACTAAGACACAAGGGGTTACTGGACGTGAAAGAATTAGAAAGAAGAATCATTACTAAAGAGCAAGATTAAAGTTAACTGGAAAGCATGGAGCTGGAGGAGTGTTCCACGAGCGAGAAGTGCGAGACAAGATGCTGTTAGCATAGAATTTACGGTTACATCTAGCCAATTTAACTGTAAATTGATGAGACCTTGTTGCCAATCTAGTAGTGCGGTATTATCTGCGTTAATAGATAAAGACAAATAAGATCTCCATCAACAATGTCATATTCGACAAATGAAAGAATATGGAAAGACAAAATAGCAAGTCCTGAGAGAGCTAATTTCATAATGCACAGTGGATATAACACGGCCATTATATCAAAGAAAGAAAAAAGCCTAATGGCCTATTGTGTCCAATTAGGATGCAGAATTGAAGAGGAAGACGTCGATATGGAAGAAGACCTTGACAGGGAAGAAAGGATGAGTTCTTCAGATCAGGAAAATGCAATAGAAGACGAACCTAGGATGACAGCGGGAGTGATTAACATACGGAATATGAAATACGAACAAAATCTAATTTAAAAAGAACAGGATATAAACCTCCAGGATAATAGTTCCCGAATATACCAAACTGATAGGGTGGCTAGCTAGTCCTTGTTGCAGATATCTGCTCAGGTACATTTGTGTTTCTCTAATATACACAGAATCAACCTGTGGTTTATACCGCACTTATGCCCAGTGGACATTAATCTGAGAGAGCGCGCATAATCTGACGTGTTCAATGTTAGAACAAAGCCAGTACGATCAAACACTTCGGTCACGATGACATGAGACAGCAAAATCGTTTCTGAACAGTTTTATCTACCCAATTTCACTCATAAGGCATGGACCAACCAATTATTTTCAGGCACATTACGATCGTTACTCCAGGCTGATATTATCAGAAAGTTACATCCTTTACAAATCATGATGAGATTCGAACTCGGCCCAATACGCTAAAGATCTAACCACTCAGCCACCAGCATATTATCTTGAATGTAAGAACAATTTAACTGCTATTCCATTTTGTCTTTGATGTTTTTATAATATATTGCAGGTAACTTCCCGCAAAAAAAAAACAAAAAAAAACATTAAATTTTCAAAATTTCCATATTACTTACTCTTAAAAAAGCGATACGATTTTGCATTTATTTTAACAAATTTTCGTTTAATTTTTATGAATAATAAGATTTCGTTGTACATTTCGGTACTAATGAAATACTTCCTAGTGTTTCAGATATTTATTTATATAAAAGCACATATTTTAATTAGCAGGTGAGTTACTTTAAATATATATCTATATTTCTCTAATTAGTAAAGCAATTCTTGTTATATATTGGTTAATTGATGATGAAAGCTGAGGTTTCTTTGTCTTTTATCCTTTTTCCTTTATCGTTTTCAAATTGTTTGGGAAACTATTTGATTGACAACAAAAGCTGAAGACCAAATCGAATTCGCAGGCAGAACAAAAAGAAGAAAGTCATAAGAATGCAATTATTTTATTCTTGGGCGCAAGTAATACGAAAATACGCCCAACGACTGATTATTCACGATAATAATCTCATTGGCGCGTGAACGAGAAGAGGATTAAACATTACCGGATCAGAACGGGCATCAGGTGAGCCAGGACCCAAATCTCGAAGCGTTGCCAAACCCGTTTTGCAAGCTTCTTAGAATCGGCCAAGTCGTCACGTGACTTCCGACTTCCATGCCATCGGTCAAGTTGATGTCTTCCTTGGCGGGGTCGGCGCCAAAGGCAAACATTTGACCACATAATGCCGCGGGTCGCGCACGAAATGTCTAAGAGAAATATCTCTTACTTAAATACAAGCGATAAGTAAAGCCGGAATATAATATGGCATCATCGATGATCGATACTGATAAGTCAACGAGTAATAATAATATTAAATGGACAAAAATAAAAGCCTCGTTAAATAGGTCCACCCTGATCTTGAATAAGAAAACATTTGATAACAGAAATACAAATCATTTGAAGAAAAGTAATTTTTGAAGTAATTTTTTCGATTTTTTTCATTGCGTAGAAAAAACAAGTGATTATAGAGACAATATATTAATAAACAAATGTAAAGTTTTGGATTTTAGTTTTAGATTTGCTTTTAATACTTTTGCTCAACTATCAGGTAAGCAAAAAGGAAAAATATAAGCTAATTTGAAAATCTGCTACTTTTCGTAATGTTTTATAAAATGCTATCAAAACCTCTGTAGTTTCTTCTCAATAGATTTATCAATTAAACATGCATGAATTTATTTGATTCTTCAACAGTTTATAAATAGAATAACACAAAATCCTTGCCTTGTAAACCAAAATCAAAGTTATTCTCACATGGTTCCCAAGAAATGTATTGCTTTATCACAGTTCGTCTTCACAGATACTAGGTATTTACTCTGCCTCCCCACTAAAACGAATTGTGCGACAAGGTCTTTTTTAAGGTGGGTACCCGAGCGCATGCACCCTGGCTAGGAACAAAAATTGCTCACAGCCCCCGCAACTGTCGGTTGCGCTGGCCTCGGTGCGAGCACTGATCCCTCTCTCTGGTGCAATGAGAGGCCTCGAGCAGCTGTTCCCCAGGGCTGGGCACCTCTCCGTATAATTTTCCTCAATTGCGACTCTGTCCTTTGAGTGCACTCTACCCAAAGACAGAGACTTCTTCACTAAATGACAATCCTGGTTGATTTGTGCAGAACCCAATTTTCAAATGTGACGAAATCAAACAACTTGACGAATCCAAGAATCTCATAATTGTTTTAATGTATCTCTGTCAATATTTTTATACCCTCTACCTTACATAAAAAAAATCTGATATACTTATTCTCAAATCATTACTTGAACGCTAGCGTCTAGACAAGCTACATTTAAATTGCAACTGGAATTAATATAGGATTGTTATTTAATAATTATTATTAATCTGTAATTAATAATCAGTTCTAATCTTTATTCGTGCATCTTTTTGGAAATCTATTTAATTGGAACCGTATTTCTTTGAGAAAACACTAATTTCGGAATCCTCTACGGTAAATCTACACCCAGGATTGTACAACATATTTTCTTTCTTTAAAATCTATCGATTATAAAAAGGGTAAAATAATTAAAAAAAACAATAGAGAGAAAAATTTAAATCTATAAGAATTTTAAAGTAAATCCAAGACGAAGAGGAGACTTCTGACAACAAAGATGTAATCTACAGAAGAATGATGTAAATATCATGGTCGGGACATGTGATCAATATGGAAGTTTTAAAAAAAAGGAAGCAAAAAGTACACAGAATAATAAATAGACTATTGAAATTTTTGGGAAACATAAGGAGGAAAGAGGTCTTGGAGAATTTGACACTCATAGAACATGTAGGAAGCAAGAGATACAGAATGAAACTTAACTGAAAAGTTTATATAAATGAATGGTAGAAAAGAGTGAAAAGTAAAAGTAAGTAAGTAAAAAGACAAGT